TGCGAAAGCACCACAAGAATTGATTGGGGTTACAAATAAATTTCAGGGAGTAGGCAGATTCACAGATCAGAATCTGTAAATAGCAAGGATTGATTGTACTCTTTTAATTACAGTCACTTTATAGAATGCTACTATGTTCTTATATCTACAAGAGCAAGATCCTTGTTATTATTTTTTCAAGAATTTATGTTAAAAAAAAATCATGTTCTTTAAGTTCAATAATAGAAAGACAAAAGAGGGGCACCTGGGGGGCTCAGTTGGTTGAGCATCTGCCTTCAGCTCAGGTCATGATCTCAGGGTCCTGGGGGGGGTCGAGCCCTGTTTTAGTCTCCCTGCTCATCAGGGAGTCTGTTTCTCCCTCCCTCTGCCCAACCCGGCTCCCCTGCTCCCCGCCACACACACACTCTCTCTCTCTCGCTCAAATAAATAGTCTTTAAAAAAATGGGCAAAAGATCTGAATAGACATTTCTCTAAGAAAGATATGCAGATGACAGGAACATAAAGTAGTGCAGCTGCTTTGGAAAACAGTTTAGCTGTTCCTCAGAAAATGAAACACAGAGTTACCAAATGACCTAGTCATTCTGCTCTTAGGTATGTACACAAAAGAATTGAAAACACATGTCCACACAAAAACTTGTACGCAAGTATTCATAGGAGCATTGTCCGTAACAGCCCCAAAGTAGAACTGTCCAGCAACATATGAAAGAATAAACAAAATGTAGTATATCCATGTAACAGAATATTACTTGGCAATAGAAGGGAAAGGGCAACTGACACAGACTGTAGCATGAATAAACCTTGAAAACACTAGGCTAAATTAAAGAAGCCAGACACAAATGACCGTATATTGCACAATTCCATTTATTTGAAATACTAGAATAGGAAATCCAGGGAGACTGAAAGAATAGTGGTTGCTTAGGGCTGGCAGGAGAGGGGTTAGAATGGGAAAAGTGTCTGCTAATAGGTATAGGGTTTCTTGTTAGGGTGATGAAAATGTTTTAAAATTAGATAATGGCGATAGTTATTACAACTCTGAATATACAAAAGCTACTGAATTATAAAGTTTTTTTTAAAAAGATCTATTGATTTGAGAGAGTGGGAGCGTGAGGGAGGGGCAGAGGGAGAGGGAGAATCTCAAGCACATTCCCCGCTGAGCATGGAGCCCACCTCCAGACTCAGTCCCAGGACCCTGAGATCATTACCTGAGCCGAAATCAAGAGTCGACTGCTTAACCTTGACTGAACCACCCAGGCGTCCCTGAATTGTACACTTTAAATGAATGAATTTTATGGTCTAGTAATTATATCTCAGTAAAGCTGGTTTTTTGTTAATGTTTTATCTACAAAGAGAAAGCAAAATAATGCCACTTCCCTCCAGTCCTGCCCCTCTTCATGCCCCATGTGGAGAGAGGCTTGAGCTGTCTGGTGACCCATGAGCGGTCAGGGGTGAGGATCCTCAGGTCCACCATCTGCCCAGGGTCCGTCACATAGGCTCTTACTGTACTCTCTAATGGTATCTGGGCCTTGGGGGCCATCCTCCGTAGATCTGAAGCAGCGACCAAACTTTGTAGGTCATTTGTATTACCAAGGACGCCTCTGGCCCTGAAATTCTTTCCAGAGTTAATCTGGGGAGGGGATGGATTACTGCCTGTTGCTGTTCTCACACATTTACTCTTCTAGATGAACTTCAGAATGGGATTGTCACAGCCTCACCCCACCCCACCCCACCTCACCTTCACCAGTAAGAACTCTGATGGGAGACTATCCAAGTTCTGATCTTTGGGTAGACTTCGCCTCTTTTTAATATTTAGTCTGCCATCCTGGATCACGGTATGATATGTTTATTTATTCAGGTCTTATTTTATGTCCTCCAGTCAAATACTACAGTTTACCTTTTTTGTGAAACTTACTGCTAGTTATGAATGAGGCCTTCTTCCATTTCAGTTTTGCAGTGAGAGGAAGAGGTAATTGATGTTCATGTGTCTAGGTGTGTTTACCTTACATCCTGCCACTTTATTCAGTCCTCTTCGTAGTACTCTAGTCTCTCTTTTTCTTTCCCAATTTTTCCTTCCCGGGGTTTTCTTCCTCTGCCTCTTTTTCAGGGCACCTCTACCTGGAAATCCCAGGAGTGTCTAAAGCTCCAAATAAAACTGAAATTCAGTAAATCACAGTTAAAATGATCTCTCTGTGCCCTTAGGTTCAGAACTGCTCACTGCTAGCCCCTAGCCTTAAAGCACGTTTGTGTGCGTGAAGAGAAGATGCCCCTTTCTCTGGGTACTTGACTCTTATCTCCTGGAGAAATTGCCATAATTAACTGATTCAGTTGGAATAGGATTCATGCCTGTAAGAACATGTCATGGTGAATCTGCAGGTCCCCAGTGTCTCCCGCACCCAGGCCCCTTAGGCAAGGCGTGCTCGCGCAATCTCAATGCACAGCATTCTTTAGGTCTGTAGATTGTGCTGTCACTGCCTCAGTTTACCTCTTATTATATGTCACCTCTCGTCACAGTACAACCTCCGCCCCCCCCCCCAAAAAAAGGACAAAAACAAAGTACAATCCAATGTTCCTCTTCCCAGCCTCTCTTCAGACCCTCTAGTCACAACCCAGAATAACCTTCCTAAAGCATTGGAAACCCCTACCCAAAGGCCTTTGCTGGTTCCTTGTTTTGGTCAGAGTCAGAAGTACTTCACTCCCTGGAGGCCCTCATCATAGCCATGCTACTTTTCCTTTCTGCCACCACACGGTCTGTGGTCTTCCCACCACACTCTGGTGCCTTGGTCACTGCTGTCACCCTTCACTCTCTGCTTGCTCATCTGTAAAGGGAGAAGAGCAGCACTTCCTCAATAATTTTATGGTAAAAAGGAAAGATAGAGCATGCGAACATGACCAGCATGGGGCCTAGCATTTAACACGTCGATGTCCTTTCTCTTCCTTCCTTAGAACTCCCTCACAAGGACTTTGGAAACTGAAATGCTATGTAACATATTATGATTACTTATGGCTCATTGTATGTCTGTTACCCAAAGTGCTTGTATTTGGGTAAGAATTCATCGTATTTGACCTATAATTAGGAACATTTGAAAATATTCCAGAAGAGGGGCACCTGGGTGGCTCAGTTGGCTAGGTGTCCGACTCTCAATTTTGGCTCAGGCCATGGTCTCAGGGTCATGAGATCAAGCCCCACATTGGAATCTGTGCTGGGGCATGGAGCCTTCTCCCTCTCCCTCTGCCTGTGTCCCCCACTCATGATCTCTCTCTCTCTCTCCTCCTCTCTCTCTCAAAATAAAAAAAGAAAGAAAATATCCCAGAAGAAAAAAAATCTAGGGGCACCTGGGTGGCTCAGTGGGTTAAAGCTTCTGCCTTCTGCTCAGGTCATGATCTCGGGGTACTGGGATCAAGGCCCGCATCGGGCTCTCTGCTCAGCAGGGAACCTGCTTCCCTTCCTCTCTCTCTGCCTGCCTCTCTGCCTACCTGTGATCTCTGTCTGTCAAATAAATAAATAAAATCTTAAAAAAAAAAGTCTAACTTTGTAGCCTCAGTGTGCCCCCTGAAACAGGTGCCATAGGAAGGTTCCTGGCTGTGCCTGGAGGCTCCTGGCAGGATAAGGATGCAGCAGAGGATCCCCTAGCTGGCAGTCTAGTCTGTCCACGACTGAGGCACATGAGGAGGGGAGGTGCCAGCCGCCTCAAGGAAACACAGATTCTCTCTGCAAGAGATGGAGGGGGTTTGGAGGGCACTCGGGAAACAAGCTGAGAACAAACGTAGTCCTTCCCTGGTGGGGATTTCCTCCACCCCACTACTGTTGCCTTCAGAAAACAGGGAAAAAGCACTTGCTGTCGACTGCAGCAAATGATTTGTGATTAGGAGTCACTTTCCAAGTGTGTTCATTGGTTCAGAGAATTGACTTCATTTCAGCCACATTTGGCTGTCTGTTTGTCTTTTGTTCTGGACTTTCTCCTGATTTGGTTTCCATTGGGTTTGAATCCGAAACCATCGGTGAAAATTTTGGATCCAAATTAGAGTTTATCATAAGCACATATCTCAGAGAAACAGATGAAACCCAGAGTGGAACAGAAAGCAAACAAGAAATAATGCAATAACATTAGAAGCAGAATAGTGCCAGAGGGAAGGAACAGAAGGAAACTGAGAAGAGCTGCATAGAAAGAGGGAGCCAACCTTTCAGCAGAGGACCAGCCAGAGAAAGGGGTCTGAGCTGGGACAGAGTACTGTCTTTTTTTTTTTTTTTTTTAAGATTTATTTGAGAAAGAACCTGTGGAGGGGTGCTGGGAGCAGGAGCAGAGTGAGAGAGACAGACTCCCCGCTGAGCACAGAGCCTGTCTCGGCCTGATCCCACAACGCCCAGATCATGATCTGAGCTGAAACCAAGAGTCCCACACTTAACCAGCTGTGCATCCAGGTGCCCCACAGAGAACTGTTTTAATGGGCACATACAATTTACGTTGTACCAGAGATGGGCCCATGAGAAGTCCTATTTCCTCTCCATCGCTTCTCTCTGCCTTCTTTTCTCACTCTTCTTTCCCAGGGTCATCCTGACCTCCACTTGGAGAAGACATGCAGTGGGGCTCATCACTGATGGTGGGACCACCCTTCCTGCCTTCCCAAGTGCTATAGACTTTCAGACGTTTGGGTCACTGGTTAGAAAATGGGAGAGCTCTATCTCTAGCCCCACATCACTGAATATCTTCTCCAAATGGTTGATGTTGTTGATTTGACTTAGGAGATACATGTACATATTAAAAAATATTTTCCATGAAGTGTAGAAGAATATAGAGAGGAACATTCCTCTCCTGCCCACCCCTATCCTCTGTGCCCTCTATTCCCTCCCCAGAGGCTACTTATTCCATATGTACCTTCTCAGAGGTCATTCTTAGCTTTTAAAAATCATTACATCTTTGCTTTTTCCTTTTGTTGCTGAGGCTGAGGATTTACCTGCTGTGTTCTTTCTGTATCTGCCTTCTCCGTATCCCTTCCTCGCACAGACTTAGACCCTTGGTGGACAAACAGCTGTGAGCAGAATGAGTCGGACCCCATCCCTGCCAACTGCACTGGCTGTGCCCAGAAATTACCCCTCAAGGTAATGCTCCTGGAAGATACCCCGAAGAAATTTGAGAGACTCCATCCTCTGGTGATCAAGGTGAGCAAGAAGTCTGATTCTCCCACTGCTAGGCTATTTATTTAATGGCTAGCAAGCATCAAGCTCTGTGACATACCTGAGAAGGAATCCCATGTTTTGTTTTGGTTTTTTTTGTCACGCTTTTGTTTTCTGCCTTGCCCAGACCGGACAGCTCTTGTTGTCCAAGGAGCTTCAGCATTTTCTGTGCCAGTACCCTGAGGTCACTGAAGGCTTCAGCGAAGGGTTTTTCACCAAGTGGTGGCGCTGCTTTCCCGACCGATGGTTCCCATTTCCTTATCCATGGTGAGTGTGGGAAAGGGCACTTGGCCTGCATGCGGTAGGAAGGGGGCAGAGCAGATGTCCAAGCAGTACTGGCTACCCAGACCCTCCCTAGCCTCGCACTGGGCAAGCACTCTTCAAGTCAGATGAAAGCATCCGGATTTATTTCTGAAGACATGTTTAGTGTTTGTGTTTATGTAGACTGCTTCCTGAGTGTGAGGGCTAGAGAGAAAGCATGAAGAACAGAAGGCCGACTTCATTTCCTGGCACTTGTTTGTGCCACGCTGTGTGCCTTAGTGCTTAGCGTCTCGTGCTCACTGGTGATGCTCATAATAGCTCTGGAAGTAGGCACTATCGTGGTCATTTTTCAGATCAGAAACGTGGGAATCAGAGAGGTTAAGAACCTTGCTTAAGGTCACCCAGCCAGGCTCGAAACCCAGATCTGTCTCCCTCTTCCTTCCTTTGTCCTGTAGAAGACATGGTCAGGGCACTTGGTATGTCAGTTAAGCGTCCAACTCTTGATACCAGCTCAGGTCATGATTTCTGGGTCTTGAGACTGAGCCTCCCATCAGGCTCCGTGCTCATCAGGGAGTCGTCTTCTCTCCCTCTGCCCCTCCCCCTGCTCACACTCATGCTTCCTAAAAAAAAAAAAAAAAGTAAAATCTAAAAAAAGAAAACATGGTCCATTTCTTGGGGTGAGGGTTGCTCTCTAGTAAAAAAGAAGGAAAGCCAGTTTCCATCTAGAACCATTCCAGAAGAGAATTAAAATTGCTTTTTTTTTTTTTTTGGTCTTTTTGTTAGATAATTTCTCAGTGCTTTGGTCTTTTTAAAAATTTGCCATTTATTTGCCTGATTGAATACTCTGGTTTAACTAGTCAGCTTCCCACTGCATGCCATACCACCTTAGAAGAAAGTTCGTGATTTTTGCCTCCTCCTCCTCCCTTCTGTTCTCCCGCCTGGCCTGCTGTTAGTTACTTCAGTCTCTTTTCCAAGATAGAATGAATGGACTGTTTCTTTTCTTCCTCTATATGTTGTTTTAGCTGGACTTCATAAACACCCCACCCACGTGTACAAATTGCGGCTGTGGAGTTACGTGTGTACGAGTGCATGTCACAATTAATTGATTTGGCATGACTCTTCTTCATGAACCTAATACTTAAGATATTGTCCTGATACTTTTCCCTGTTTACCTACCGCCCACAGTTTTCCCACCCTTGCTTAGCTCTCTGTTAGTCATGGAGATAGAGGCTGGCTTGCCCAGCTGAATTACTTTTGTCTCTTTCAAACTTTTACAGGAGAAGACCTCTAAACAGAGCACGCATTTTACGTGAGCTTTTTCCTGTTTTCACCTACCTGCCATTTCCAAAAGATGCCTCCTTAAAAAAGTGCTTCCTTCTTCAACCAGAACCTATCATGGGTAGTAAGGTAGGACACTTTGAGAGGACTTGGGTCTAGAGTTTTCCTCTTTTGGCACGTGGGCTGATGTCATAATTCCTTGCTTCCCTGCATGTCAACTCAGAGGGTGAATTGAAGGGACACCCACATAATCTAAAGTTCTCTCCGTCTGTTGCTACCAAGGAGACCTGCAGTGGCCCACCCTTCCACAAAGACATGCTTACAGAAAGTCTCCTTACCTCACAAATCTGTTTCCTGCCCTTGACACCTGAGGTCAATCTACTTTTCTACATTAGGAAATAAAATCCTGAAATTTAAAGGGACCCAAGCATGCAGTTAGTTTGACTTCCCTACCTCAAAGTAGACAGCAGCAAAGCTGTAAGCAGCTCAACTTACTCATTTTGTGGATGGGGCCACTGAGCCCCAGAGACAGTGAGTGATTTGCCCAAGGACACAGCAAGTTAATGGGAAGGCTCTACCCACCCACCCCCCATTCCCAGGTTAGCTTTCCCCAGAAATAAACAAATGAGAATCTTCAGGTGGAGAACCCGAAAAGCAAAAAGCTTGAGAAGTTTAGGGATGAAAGGGTTGCCAGATGTGCCCAAGGCAGGCAGACCAGTTTGGGTAGCAACACTTATTACTCAGTCCATGGCCAAGTACCCAGAGCCCACATTACCTCTCTGGGGCCAGCTGTTTTGTGTTGTGTCTGTTTACTTTTCTCTGAATTGCTCTTTTGTTGAATCTCATTCCTGAGGAAGGTTTTTGAGTTTAGATTGGTTTGGAAGAATTAATAGGATGAAATTTCCCAAGCTGTGACCCCTATCAACTCTGGGTTATGTTTTCAACCTCCCAGTACTATTGTTTGGCTCCAAATTTGCTGAATCGTGGTAAAGGAATTTCAAAGCCTATAAAAACAATCATTTTGTCTAGAAGTAAGAACTTCTGTCTGCCAGCATTAGGGTGGAGGTGCCGGGCTCTTGCCTCGGATTTTAAAGAAGATTATTCTGCTGTCCCCGGCTAGAACTCAGGGCCCTGGTGTGATTTCATCTTCATAGTTATGATATAATTCTGGGCGAGAGCTTTTATCTTTATCTTGGTTTTCCCACTTGAATCTGAAGTTAATTTCACCAGTCTGCTTAACAAGAACACAGAGGATCCCAGCCAAAAGGTAAATACTAAGTTACTCAGATGCCTATCAGAGTCATCGTGTGGTTCACAAGCATGTTTTGGGAAGGGGAGTGGTCCAAAGAGGCAGAAATCCTGAGAGTCTGGTTTCTTAGAGCATCTGCTCCCCGCCCTGGCCCAGGCTTTCCTTTCTCTACAGCCTCATTACTCCACCCTGTTGTCCACATCCCTGGGCCCTGGAGCCCGGTAAAGTCATATGTCTGTGGAGGCAGTCTTGGAATAGAAATTGGGCAGTGGAGATCCGATTGGAAGAGGTACTGGAGGAAAGAGGTGAGAGCCTGGCTTCCAGGCCCACTTCACCCAGTCCACAGTGTCACCTGGGGCCTGGCCCGCTCCATCCCGTTGTCTGTTTCTTCCCATCCTGAGGGTAGAGGCACATGGTCCTGCCCCCTCTCAGGCCTATATGAAAAAGAGCTACATCCACTGGGTTTTGGTGTCCTGGGATTTCTTCAAGACTGCAGGTGTCTGGGCCTCTGCCAGTGAGTCGTAAGCCACTCATCCTCCTTAGTCCTCCTCCTGTCACGACACTGGCAATTGAATGGCTCTGGTGTTGCCATGGAAACAGCATTCTGGCCAGGGCCTGTGGGCACAACAGAGAGACCAGGGCTGGGGACAGGAGAAGATAGGGCCCAAACCAGACCTCTGGAGGGGCCCAGTGCTGAAGAGAAAACAGGGATGTGGCCTGGAGAGTCGGACTTCAGATCCTTGTTTTCTGTGGGCACAGAAAGCCTTTTCCTGGAGGGGATAGGGAAAGGAGGCCCTAGGGGTTTTCTCTCACCATCTAGGTAGGAAGAAAAGCCTGAGCAAGACCAGCCTGACTTCTCCCTTTGTCTCTACTCCTTGCCCACATCAACACCAGGGTTCACAGCCAGACCTGGCCCACAGCCTGTTGGTGGCAGTAGTCTGCCCTCCCAAGTGAATTGTTCCTGTGGGGGCGCGGAGCCTGGCTGCCTTCTGAGGGTCTGAAATCTAAGGCCATTCTTACTGCCATTAGTTTTTCATCAGTAGTGTGATCTATCTGCTCACCCAGATCTTGCCCAAGAGTGTAAACTTGAACTTCTTGCTGCTCAGTTCTCTTCCAGACCCTGGCAGTAAGAAGTACTATTCCATGGAACATTGCACAAAGGAAAGGCAGGCCATCTCTTTCTCTGAAAAGTCTGGATCCAGCCAGACCCTCAGAAGGTTGTGTACTTTGACCAGTATGTGTTGGCCTCTCCTAGACTTATTAAATCATATGTAGATGATTTGCCATCTACCTGCTTTGGAGCTGTGGCTAGAAATAGCCGTGAATTATGAAGCTCATGCTAGATCTGCATTGCGGCTGGTGCTAAGGATGTCTCTTTAGCAGAACCCGCAGAAGAGATCTCAGTATCTGGAGATAGGGACGCTGAGTCCCTGGTCTCAATACCAGGAGACGCCAGGTTTAGGAGAAATTACTTTGTTTTAATCCTTTGGACATAATTGTGAATTGTGTCATTGGTTCTCTTTTGCTTTTTGCTCAGGCTGCTAGAAAAGTCAGAGCCATATATATATATATATATATATATATATATATATGTATATATATTTGTATGTTAATCTCCCATGTCACTGGTTTTTATTTTGTTTCCTTTTCCTTCTCCCGTGTTTTTTTTTTTCTTCCCTCCAGATGTATAGAATGCATGACCTGTTCATCGTTGGCAGTGGTGAGGCCATGTTGCAGTTCATTCCTCCCGCCCAGTGCCGAAGACACTGCCAGTCGGTAGCGATGCCCCTAGAGCCGGGGGATATTGGTAGGTGCCCCCGCCCCGGGTGGGGCAAGGTCAGTCACAGGATCTTTGTAGTTCTTAACTCAAGAACTATTTTGAGAATTGACACAAAGTTTCAATTAGCTAGAGTCAAAAATAGCCTTCTTTTATGGGCAGAGTCAATATTTATGCTTTAGGTAGAACACTAGGCTAAGGAAGAAAGGTAGCACAGAGAAATGCCTCCTTGTATATACATATAGAATGCATGATGTGTCTGTCGATCTTAGAAGTTTCCAGTTAGAAGGCATTATAGAAAATACTGAGAACAATCCTTTATTTTTCAGATGAGGAGCTTGAGACCCAGAAAGGAGAGGTTACCATCCCAGGTTCCCATCAGCTAAGCAAAGCATTGAGCTTAACGTGTCTTCTGCAACAGAGTCAGGCCAGGGGGAGATACAATTCTAAATTCGAGGAAACCCTTTCTGTGCCTGTTTTGCTCATAAAACAACACAAGCAGTGTGCAAGGGCAACAGCCTCATAGGGGAGTATTACCTTCCCTGTGGCTCCCACAGCCAGGCCCCCCCTTCACAGTCATGACTCACCCTTGGCTCCATGATTTCCCAACTGTGGCCTGTTCTGTGCATTATTTTCTAAAAATCTATTCCAAGAAAACAGGTCTGAATCAATTGCTGTCCATAGCAATCAGTTTGACGGTAGAGTTTTCTTGGCAGAAGCAAATACCAAGTGTCACAATTGCCCTCTCTGTTCCTCCTACCTCATGAAGCCTAGGGGAAGCTTAGCACCCATGACAGAGCCCAGGCTGGTTTTCCCAAATGATTCCTTTTCATTTTACCTCCACAGAAGACCCCGGTCCCTACTTCCCCTCATTTGGAAGTAGGGTTTAGACTGCAAACTATGACAAGCTTTAATCCACGTTACATAACTTGTTTTAGTTTAGAAATGAAAATAATGCGCAAATTAAGCATTAACTGATAATGGAGCACAGCTGGCCTGGCCTTTGGGAATTACTGCAAAAAAGAGGATTTTTGTGTAGAAATTGTTCTGAAGCTATTTTCCTGTAGTGGAGGTGACCCTTCCGTGAGGCAGGACTATTGCACAAGTCTGTATGGCATTTGGGGTTGAGTGTGTAGTGATGTTTGAAAAAGCTTCTGTCTTCTGTTCTACAGAAGTCTGACAGTCCAGACAACTACAGAAATACCTCAGTTATCCAAAGTTTAGGTTGCTGGAGCCCACAGACATCTAGAATGCCAATTACAGAATTAAGGGGAGTAAATGGGGGACAGGCAGTGACCAAAGAAGCTGTGAGCGTCAAAGGCTGGTGGGAGTAGTGCAGAAAAGCCTCAGACCCAGAGCGTCATCACCTGCCATGCTCTGACTGGCCGGTTTGCTGACCGGAAGGAAAGGAGGCCTATGGGTAGCAGTGTCCATGAAAGGCCAGCCACAGGACAGCAACGTGGGGAAGGGACGGGGGCTTGACTAGAACCAAAGGAAGAGGGCAGGTCTGGGAGAAGAACAGGGTGGTGGGGGTTGGGGAAGACAGCGGGCTTCTGGAGTGGTGGCAGAAACAGAAGCCATGGCTGCAGCTGCCACAGTTAAAGACGAGGACAAGAGGGCCTCCTGGGTGGCTCAGTCGGTTAAGCTTCTGCCTTTGGCTCAGGTCATGATCCCAGGGTCCTGGGTTGAGTCCTACATCAGGCTCCCTGCTCAGCAGAGAGTCTGCTTCTCCCTCTCCCTCTGCCCCTCCCCCTGCTTGTGTGCGGTCTCTCTCTCTCAATAAGTAAAGTCTTTATAAAAATACATAAATAAAGACAAGGACAGGAAAGCAGAACCTGACAGCAAAGGGGAATAATTCAGTGCTGCTTGTAGGATGGGGGCATCTCCAGCACCTTTGGGACCCTTAAGAATCGCACTGGTTTTCTGTTTTCGACAAAATAAGCATTGTCCTCTGAAGGCTGAGGGGAAGGGGACAGGGATACATGTCACCAGAAAACCTGTGCTGAGAAGCATTTTCAAGAACGATGGTAGGGGTCAGGCCTCAGAGGCTGACACTGGTGAGCCCACACATGTGCTGTGATAGAGGAGTCACTGCCCATGGTGACCTTTCTTGAGTCACCAAGTAGAAGTTAAATTCTGTTCAGTGCTCTCAGTTTAAAGATAGGTAAGGTACATCATACTCTAGAGACTTTTCCTTCAGGAGATTATTGAAGTGTTCAAGTTTTTAAAGCTTTTAAGTTTACAGCTCACGTCATTGTTTCCTGAAGAGTTCTTCAGATCACTCATGACCTGGGGGTGGGAGCACGATCCCTTTAGAAAGGCTCTTGGCAAATAGGGCTCTTGGGTCCTTTAATTTTGGGAACCGCCTGTCTTATCATTACATAGTACACGTTAGTGTGCCAAAGGCTCCAGAAGCCTTGGTGGAACCTAGTGTTTCTCAGACTGACTTGACTATGGAACCATTTCCCTTGGACTATCTTTCAGGCTGATGCTGTTTGCAGAACATGATTTAGGACATGCTGGTTTGAGCTAATCTGGATGTTCTATCATGAGACAGTGTTAGAGATCACAGGAGGAGAATTGGACTGGGGGGTCTTGCTCCCCCTCGGAATTCATCCTGTCTTCTTGCTGATAAAGATGACATGGGCCTTAGAATTGATGCCCAGCTCCAACCTCATCTGGAACATCCTGCCCTTTTAAACTTGTTGAATTGAGTCCTCGTTCCCCCAGCAAGTGTTGGCGAGGAGGCACTTTGGTTCATAGTGACTCCTGCCAGATGTCAGTTTGCACAGAGGCCCGAGCACTGGGGGTGTTACTCGAGGCAGACCTGCCTTGCTCCTGCCCACAGGTGTGCCTGGTCCCTGACATTTACCTGCTGTCCTGTTGCTCTTTCTCTATAAGGCTATGCCGGTGCCACCCACTGGAAGGTCTACGTGATAGCCAGAGGGGTCCAGCCTTTGGTCATCTGTGATGGAACCACCCTCTCAGAACTGTAGGAAACAAGAGCTGTACAGAGGAACAACTTCAAGAACTGAAGATCAGATTGAAAGGGGAGAAATAAAAACGATGAAACCATTTTCCAAGGTCACTTAGTTACCTGCCCTGTGCATGCGTGTATGAGCCAGCCATATGCTGGACTCTTCCAGCCTAGTTGCTTGGCCAGGACTTTGCCAGTACCTACCTGTGAGGGATTGGGCTCTTCCATTTTCCACACCTTTTGGAACCACAGCCTCGAGGCTGCCCCTCAAGCAGGAAACAGGATTGGTGCCTTCCCTTACTCGCATGGCATGATCCCTTCTGCTGGCTCCCTGGCCACAGAGAGGGCAGCCAGCAGGTCCATACTTCAGAGCCGTCCCTCACCAGGTGGTCCTGCTTGTCCTGTCTTCCTGGCCACACCACCCTGTACTTCTGTTGAAAGCCATGGCTGATTAAAGAAGTCATTGCAGTTTCCCCAGCAGCACAGAATCTAGAACCCGTGAAACAGGATTAAGTAATCTCATTGCACTCAAGAAAAGCACCGCTTTCCCAGTGTCCATGACTCTTGGAGTCTCAGTGATGCCAAGTTGGAATGTGATTATAATTGAAATGGTAATTCCTAAGGTAATACTTGCCTCCATTTGATCAAGTTCTTAGGCCTACCCCCACCCCCACCCCTTCTCGCTTGGCTTGCAGAAGCTGGACTCCCCGTCCTCCCTCGCTGGCAGGTCCAGAGCCCTAGACTGCTGAGGCGGCACAGCTTCTGTCAGCTGGGTTGGTTTACCAAGTGTCTTCAGAGGGGATGAGTTAGAGTCCTGGCCTGGGGAGAGGGTGCCTCCCCGGGTTTGATCTTTAGGGTCCAGCTTTCTGCAGGGAAGATGTTTTACAGATGTGTCAAGCTGATGTTGTAATATGGTTGGGGAAGGAACTCCAGACCCAACGTGTTTGCCAGCTGGGTGTGCAACTCTGGGATCCTCTGTCTTGAAATGATTTCTTTCTCCTGGGAAACAAGGTGAGGTATTTTTATCGTTTGTAAAAATATAAAGCTATGTTCTTTCAGTTGGGTGATTCCCTATGCTCATTGTTTTCTCCAAGTGCTTTTAATATGTATTAGTCAAATGATGTAAATAAGGGCATACTTTTCTTCCTCTTTTTTCCCCTCTTTATTCCGTTATTGATGCTGCTATTTTGATACCTGGCCTCTAGTCACGCTGTCGCCAAGCTGAAGAAAAAAGCCTGACTGTGGCCCTTGGTTCTGAATTGCAGGAATCAGATGAGTACAGGGTCCATGGCAGAGTGGACCAGAGGCAGACAGTGGCGAGAGAAGGGGGTGTGACTCCTTGCAGGGTCCTTCCTCTGCATCCTTGGAGGTGGCCTTGGACCTTATTCCTGGGCTCTCTCTTAGCACATCTCCTGAGCAGCGTTGGGGATCAGCAAGGCACTGAAAGGCTTGTTTGTGGGTCTGTAAAGGACAAGAATGGTTCACAAGAGCTCAGGGCGGAACTAATTGGCCTCTATGGACTTGAGTGAAATTAGGATAAATGGTACCTGAGGGAATTTTTCCTTAAACAAGTCTGTGCCTTGTGTGGGTTAATACAGGCAAAACAAAATTTTTTGTAGATATAAAAGTCATGCTGCTAAGCAGTTATGATTTAAGAGGTTTTATTTCAGAGGGATCATCTTGAGGCCAGCTTTGCGCAAGCTTTTACGGCCTTTGCAGTGTCCTTACCCTGCTGCGCATGGAGAATTATATGTAAACAAGTTCTTCAGAGTTTTCTTCATTTGGGCCCTTTGGGTTAACAAAAGAGAGGGTTTCCTAGAAGAAAAAGAAACTTTTGGTGACTGAGATTTCTGTTTTGTCTTTATGAATTACCCTGTGTTCCTTCTGCATTTCACTCCTGCCCTTCATACCTTCAATGTTCATAAAATATCCGCTTCAGCTCAAAACTTTGAAAACTGAGAAACCCTTGTATGTGTTGCTGTTCTGAGGTCTCTCCTGGAAAGTCCCCTAAGCCCCTGAGCTGTCTACAGTTCAACCAAAAAAATGGTGTGGCAACAAAGAAGCAGAGATTTTTGTGCATTTCTTACTCTAAACTTAAAATCTATCCTGTTCAGAGTTGAAGGTCAATTTTTGTTAAGGGAGGAATTTTCCGAAGAGAGTTTTCCCCTCTTAATTACTGGATACGTAGAAGTAATTTGCCTTCTTCTCAAGGCAGTTCTGACAAGCAGAATATAGGAATGGCTTCCCTCAGGAATGGCCTAATTGGCAGCCCGAGGCCTTGTGTGAGGGTGCTGCTCACCTAGCTCTCGGCTTTTTGGGGAAGTGGCAGAAGTCCCTCCACATGACCCCGTGTGCAGAAGAGAGTCATCAAGATGAGGTGGAAGGGTGGGGGCCAAGTATACTTGTCCGATATTGGTAACACATTATACCTGTTCAGGCTTATAAAAAGAGGCAGAACTTACCCTCTCCCGACTCTCAATTTTTTTAGAGAAGGGAGGAAGTAAAATAATATGGTTTTGAGCATAGAATTTAGGGGCACCTGGCTAGCTCAGTCGGGGAAGCATGCCACTCTTGATCTCAGGGGTTATAAGTTCGAGACCCATGTTGGGTGAAGAGATTACTTAACAATAAAATCCTAAAAATTAACAAACAGAATCTACGTATTTGGTGAGAAACAAAACAGTTTTAATAAATGGGTAGGTTATGGGGCGCTTGGGTGGCTTAGTGGGTTGAGCCTCTGCCTTCTGCTCAGGTCATGGTCTCGGGGTCCTGGGATCGATCCCCACATTGAACTTTCTGTTCAGCAGGGAGCCTGCTTCCCCCTCCCTCTCTGCTACTTGTGATCTCTCTCTATATATATCAAATAAATACAAATAAATAAATAAAATCTTAAAAAAAAAAAAAAGAAATGGGCAGGTTTAGGCTCGTTTTCTAAGAATAAGAATGGTAATGTTTGTCCAGCCCATTCTAAGAGGGCCTCAGTCTCCGTGGTCTTCTTTAAGATTAGTTACTCAGTCCTGTCGAGTAGGTGTTAAAGCCTCATTTTTTGGAAAACCTGGGCTTAGAACAGTTACCTGCTGGTCAGTAGGTTGTTGGTTTTGCAGCTCAGTTTCGCTGCCTCAGCACAGCCTGGTGCCCAAGAACCTAGCTGTGGGTTTAGTCACCTGGGGCATGTCCCCACTGGGTCAAGAGAACCTCGGGGTAGGGTCAGCAAGTCAGGAACTCTTCAGGATTTGTTTTCAAGATTGTTTTAGACAGAAAGGGAACAGAAGAGGATCTAACCAGATGACTTTTATAAAAATCCTTTCACTTTCTCCCTCCCCATTTGAAAACTCTTTAGAGTGAGCGTGGCTGGAACACAACTGTGTCCAGCCATTTTCCCCATCACACATGTTTCCAGATGTGTGACCAGAAGAGGGACTTTGCCCAGTTCCAGTTGTGGCTCCCTTTAGAGTTTACCTCACTTGTTTTTCAGCTCTCCGTTTTCTCATCCCTTCTTCCCAAACTCAGCATAGGCCTCTGTGTAGGAGCAGTTCGTTTTTTAAAAAACTGTGTCTCCTTCGCTGCTGGTGATGGCCTCACTCATTTTAATATAGTCTGGGATGAGAGTTTGTTCCTTAACCAGTGGCTTCCATAGTGAACATTCAAAAGCCCAAAGCAAATGTTCATTTTTCACCTAATCCTTGCCCGCAGGAGGCGGCCAAGTTGTAGGGGAGAGAGCCAGAGCTCTCTGGTTGCATGGAGACAAGTGATCATGACTTTTTGAGAATCAGTTCTTGATCAGAAGGGTCTTTTAGGCTTTTGAGCTCTCCTAGTGATGGAGGAGAAACTCTCCTAAGTTCACGAGTTCACACTCAATAGCTTTAAGTGGTGACCCATACCTAACTAAAACTGGTCAAAGGAAAGCAATGCAGAATGTGCTTTAGATGGCATTTCCCCCCTTTTTTAAATTTTAAATTTCGGTTAACATACAGTGCAGTATTGGTTTAAGTGGCATTTTAGATTGGGATTCTGTGTTTGGAGCTACGCATGTTGTGCACAGCGCTGACAGGTGTTGGGACCAGGAGGCTAGGAAGGGGCCAGTGCTTATGGGGATAACACTGTAGCGAATGAAAAATGGGAGGCTCTGGAAATAACGCTGTGTCGCCATCAGCATGCGTCTCCCCGGCCTCCCCACCCCCAGTCTCCCGATATCTTCCTGAAGAAGCAGCTTCTTCCACAAAAGCGTCTCCAAGAAGATGGACAGGTGCTTCCCTGTTGTGCACCACACCCAAGTTGGCCCACCCTTGGACACAGTACGGTTTTATGTGCTGGCCTTGGTGAGAAACCATCCAGCCAGCTTGTCTCTCATCCAAGTCCCTTAGTGTCTGGTTTCCCTGCCCTGCATAATTTAAGCATTAGAGCTAAGTACATCTGTCATTTTCCTTTCTCCAGAGACTGGGAAATGTCCAGAGCTTTTCAGAAAAGTGGAGAGAAGAAATGTTATGTAACTCCTAGTGTAGGCCTGGAACCGTCCAGACATGGTGGGACGGGCTGAGCTGGAAACCATTCCCCCTCCATTTTGTGTGTCTTTTAGTCGGCGTGGATCCAAGCGTGAGCCCCAGCTGCAGATACCTGAGCAGAGAAGGGAAGCCAGACTAGAGTCAGACAGAAACTGGGGAGTCAGGCCATCAGGGTGTGCCAAACTTTATTTACATTTCCTCACAACAGCTTTGTGGGGTAGGGGAGGTCACCCTGTGAAGCCACCTTTACTCAAAGATCAGCTGTGTCCCAGCCTCCAAACTCTAGCCCCTCGGGACACTTTTGGCCCTTTCAGGAACAAGCTCTTGCCCACAAGAATTCACGACAGGTTCAGACAGACACAAGGCATTCCCAAGAACCCCTAGTCTGATCATGACCAGCAACTTTGCCCCCAAACTTCTTGTCATAGTGTCCCCCCTCAGAAACGTGCCAGCTGTGATCTCCTCTCTCCTGCAGAAGGGTCAATAACAGGTGTCTAGGCTGGGGGAGCAGACTGGAGGGCAGAGCTAAGCCAGAAACTCCTGCTCAGCCTCTTCCCTGCCCAGGGACAGGTCTTGGGATAGCTGCTGTGCATCTTCAGGGAACCAGGGAAGGTCCCGATAGGCAGAGGGAGATGGATACCTGTTCCAACCGCGCATGTGTGCTGTTCTAATATGTGTTTGGTGCAGAATGTTGACAGTAACTTAATGTACTGCAAACTTGTAAAGACTTCTGCCATGTAAAGAATGTATGTAAATTAAAGTTTTATGTAATGAAAGCTCTTACTTTTGCAATTAAAAGTGTGTATGTTGGTTGATAAGAACTTTCCTGTACTTGGTGTCATTCTTAAATTTCCAGGTTTCTCTTTCCCCATAACTCAGGAGACATCTAGCCACATCGTACTCATTAGGCAGCCCCAAGGTGTCTTCGGGGGCCTCCCGGTCACCTGTCCCTGATGGCCCCGGTCCTCTCTAACATTCTCTTCCAACTTTCCCAGATTTCTCTTTTCTTCCTATCCCTGAACTTTGCCCAGAAATCAAATGAGACCCTGGGTGCCGTTTTCTGTCTCCCCAGCCAGCTGCACATGATCCAGATGCCATCACAGTGTCACCTCCCCTCTGGATGTCCTTGGTTCTTGAGGGAGGTCAGCCAGGCCCCTGCTGGCCCAAGGGAGCCAGCTGCCACTGATTAGGGCCACTCTTGGCACTCAGTTAACCTTACAGTGCAGGTTTGAGTTAAGTCATTTTGTTGTGTTCACATTTTTTGTGTGATTTCTTTTTTATCTACATACAAGCTTTATATAAATGCATGACTAGGACTATTTCTTGGGGCTCCTGGGTGACGCAGTCAGTTGAGTGTCCAACTTTTGGCTTCGGCTCAGGTCTGACCCCTGGGTTGTGGGATCAAGCCCCACGTCAGGCTCCATGCTCAGTGCAGAGTCTGCTTGACATCCTCTGTCCCTCGCCCTCTGCCCCTCCCACTCATGCTCTCTCTCTCTTCCTCTCTAAAAT